TGCCTTAAAAACGTTAGAATATTTATAGAAATCATGCAAAGCATAGCAGCATATTTTTGTCGTCTATTGAACATTACAATGGTTGTTATAAAGTGTTTTTTTTATCCTATTGTCTTTCTTGAGAATCAATACAATTAGAGATCAAGTAATTGAAAAACATTGAATCCTATAACAATCATCCAAAAATAAATACATATTGGGCGTCAAATTATCGAATTTATATTAAAACTTCATAACAAGGGTTCATTCGTGCATTAGTGATTGAAGTCCTAGCCTAACACTACAAAATTGCAAGAAATTGTATTTAATTGAAGAAATAAACCCCGGATTATAGATTGTTGAAGAGGAAGATGAATCTCAATCTCTTGAATTTCATCAATTGTATATTGATGAATATCCAATTATTGTTCTTCTTCTTCCCCAAAAATCAAGGTTTGGATCTGAAATGTGTTGAAATCTTACGAGTGCTTTTAATTCTTAATGATTTGGTCTCTGTTTAATGATGATAACAGATCAATTTTGTACTATGAGAAGGACTTACTTATTTTCGCCAATGGAAGGAAAAAATCAATTACCAAGTTGTTGGATACTTTAAAAGCATATGAACTGATGTCGGGTCAATCTATGAGTCCTGTGAAATCATCTATGTTTTTTCGAAACACATCTCGATTATTCGTAAAAGAAAACTATTGGCAGCCTCGGGTTTTAAAGAAGGTGCTCTACCGTGTACCTACCTGGGCGTCCCACTCTATACTGGAAGATTGTTGAAGAGTTTATTTGAACCATTGTTAGAAAAACTTCAAAAGAAACATGCTAGATGGAAGGGCCATCTACTCTCCTTTGGGGGTAAAACCACTTTGATCAAACATATACTTTGTAGCATGCCAATTCATATCCTTTTGGTCCTGAATCTGCCTAAAGGAATTCACAATGAACTTAACCGTATTTTTCATCGTTTTTCTGGAATGCAACTGACGGATCTAGAAAATGAAAATGGGTTTCTTGGAGGAAAATTTGCCACCCAATGGAGGAAGGTGGTTTAGGTATTCGGGATTTTGGCGAAGTACAACGAGCATTATTTCTGAAATTTGGGTGGAAGCTGATGGTTGGAAATTCCTTTTGGGCAGAATTTTTCAGTGCTAAATACATGAAGAACAAACCTGTTGCGTTGCTGAAATCTTCTCCCATGCACTCCCAATTTTGGAAGTGGGTGGTCTCGGCACTACAAATTGTGTTGTAAAATTCATTTTGCCGTGTTTGGGATGGTTCTTCAAACTTCTGGTATGACAACTGGACTCTCAAAGTTTGGCAGAGGCAGGATGGGAAGTTAAGGAACCACAATTACATATTAAAGATCTACTGACGAATACTGGTTCAGTCGGTGGATGAGGAATTCTACGGGACATCAAAGGCACATACTGGGCAGGTTTTTCTCGTCACTACGGTTCTTGTACAAATATGGTGGCTGAAACTGGTGCGCTTCTCGACGGTCTACGTATGTGCAGGGACCTCGGAGTTAGGAATGTCATAGTAGAAACCGACTCCAAGGTCGTGGTTCAATGGCTTCAAAAAGGCATCTGCTCTTTATGGTGGCTTTGAGAGTTTTGGGACGAAGTTTTAGAGCTAATCTGACTTCTTAATGCCCAAGTCCAAAACGTGTTTCGGGAGGCAAACATGGTAGCTGATCTTCTTGCTAAAAATGGT